CATCTTTTTTGGATTTTTGAGAGAAGCAGGAGGGAAAAAATGGAGGTCAAAATCCAGCCTCCGAATACTCTCTACTTCACTTGGATGATGGATTCAGATGACAAACATTCTCATATCAAATACACAATGTTCTATTTATATCTGTGACTGTAACCAAAAAGAACTAAAGGATGATAGCTAGCTTCCAAGACAGAAAAAAGACAAGGCTCAATCAACAATTTTGAAGTACTTCAAGTTCATCGAGAACTATTCAGCAGAAACTATTGGAGCTGATCACTACTCATCTTTCCAAACTTCTTTAGTCATACATTGGTACGCACAAAATTTCCAACTGATTCACCTAAATGTGACCCTTTTTCCTGAAAACAAAAATATGCTACTTTGAGCCTCCTTAGAACTCCTAAAGCAGCCACAAGACAGATATGAGAATGAGCAATTGAAGTTTAAGTACATCTTCCTTCCAACCAAAAGATATTGTAATGCATATCGACTAAAGAATGACCGCAAGCAACCATCTACAATATGAGTCTTTTTTATGAGAATCTATGCATTCACTAAACAATCATGAATAGTGGTTTTGCAAATTTAGGACTTTTCAGTGTCCCAAATTTGTTTCGGTAAGTACTCTGTTGATCCATCAATTTGAATATTGTTTGGGCTTCTTTTGACTTGAAACAAGCATGGTTCTGTATTCCCTGCAACTTAAGTAAAGTAAATTACAGTGACTCCATGTCACTCTAAATATGATCTGTGATCATCATGGAAAGTTGGATGCTTCCACAAACTTGTGTTTCCGTGGAGATTAATTTCTATAGCCACAATAAAGAGATTGGTTCTGCATAGGTTTGTATTTAGACAAGTCCAGAAGGTTATTTAGCTGAAGAAGATGGTGATCTGCATCTGCACCACTTGTTTCTGCATGCCTTAGCTCATTGCGTTACAGAAGATAAATGTTCATATATTAATGACAACTCAATGTCCAATGGAAGTTTTGTTCATTGTCAGCTAATCATTACAAGTAAGAACTGTGATCGTTGGTCTTGCAATTCTTTCATGGTACTTCAAAGAGAAACATAGGATTTAGCAACTTGAATTTAGTGTTCGATGTTGGATATATGTTCCTGTAAGCCTGTATACTGTTGTTGTAAGTCTGCATATCAAGTTCAAAAGAATGTATTTTCATAGAACAGTATCCAGGACAATTATTTTCCTTTCTTAATCATAATTAAATGTGCTTCAAGTGAAGCCTAAGACTGTCAACATCAAGCATCTTGAGTTTTGTAGATTTCCTATTTCTTTATTCTTCTTATGTTCCAGGAAGCTTTGCAACTGACAACCTGATGTATACTTTTCAGGTGGTCTTGGAATTTCCTGAAAGATTATGCTATCATAACTTATCTGAACTTTTGTGCATCTTCATGGCATCCAGCAATTGATTAACCTCTCTCTCTCTCTCTCTC